CACGGGGAACACCCGACCCTCCCGGTGTCACTGGCTCTCTCGCCTCTTCGTGCGCCGTATCGTCCCTCTTTCTCTCTTTCACCCTTTTTCACTCTCTCGCCCTCTGTATACAGATATATATATACACATGTACATATAAATATATGTGTTTGTGTGCGTGTGTGTGTGTACCTATATGTATATATATATTATATATATATACTTATATACGCGTGCGTGTGTACGTGAACGTGTATATATGTGTATACGAGAGAGTGATACGCGGGTGCGCACGCGCGTGTTCACGTCTCTCCTCTGCTTTCGCACGTGTATATACGTCGTCGCGACGAGAATCCCTCTCTGTCTTTTATTTTTCTTTCTCTCTCTCTTCCTACCTTCGTACGGTCGTTCAGTGACCCGCTCTCTTTCTCTTCTTTCTGTTTCTCTGTCTCCCTCCCTCTTTCTCTGTCTCTGTCTCTGTTTCTAACACCGATATATCCCCGGCCGAGTGTGATTTTTCACCGGCTTTTCTTTCTCGCGACCGAGTATGCGACGAACCGCTCGAAAGAAGACGATAACCAAAGGATATAGGGGTGGCACGCTAGACACGGGATAAGGGAAGCGCGCGCGCTGTGTGTTGTATCTCGCGCGCACTCGCTCGCACGCACACGACTGGACTCGTTACACTGGAGTCTCGTGTCCCCCCCGGAATGAATCGACCACAGCTTCGCGACACGACACTCGCGGCGGTCGGATGCAGACTGAATCGGACGCTACGTGCCCCGCTCCTGTATTGCCGGAACGTCCCTCCTGTCCACCCTCCTCCCTTCTTTCTCTCTCGTTCCTTTCTTTCTCTTCCCCCTATTTACTTCTATCCGCGGTGGTGGCTATCAGCTCGTGCCAGACCCCAGGCTCATTTTTACTGACGACGCGCGAACGCTCTCGGGCACCACGGAGGGGAAGCTTTTTCTCTTTCGTGGCCTGGGTTTGGCGAGGATCGCCTCGCACCGAGAAACTCGCCGGGCTTTTCCTTACCCGCGATCTCAAGCCTGCGAACATTTTATGGGAATCACCGAAACTATTTAATTGGACCCGGCTAGGCTATTCCCTTGGCCTAATGGGAGTTTTAAACGTTATTTCCGTTCGGGATGTTTCGTAACAGGTGGAAACACCTTTCGGGCCGGAACGACGCGTAAAATTTGTCGACTCGGATTTTCTTGTGTAATACTGTTAATGGATTAATGATCTTTTTTAATTATTTTTGTTAGAGGGATTTAACGATGGTTAAATTAATTTATGAGCTAGACGATGAAGTATTAATCGGTGGAAATGGATTGAGATTATTTTTTCAATTTATAATGGAAAGAAATATTTTTGGAACTAGGTTGAATTTGAAATCGAATGACAATGGGTTTCGAGTTTTACCTATGAGCATTGTGGAAAATAAATACTTACGGAAGAAAGTAGTTTTATTTAAATAGCGAACAAATAAGACTTAATACAGAATGTCTGAAGTATCGATTACAACGTTTCCTCTGGGATCATTGACCTTTGATAAACCACAATTTACATATTAATACGACAAAGCGATGTCTCATCGGTGACTTATGTCATAAAGTGAGCAATGTTCTATAAATATTTGTCATAGTCTTTTTAACAAAACGTGATACAACAGGATTAAATGTTGAATTTAAAATAAGGTTTGCCGTTACTTCTTTACCACTACTAACGGTGAGCTGATTTTCTTTAAAAATTTATTATCTATTTATATTACAAAGATCATATTTCTATCGATTTTCAGGCTAAGCTATTATTATTATTTTCGTTACATAGTCAAAACTAATCAATGAATTGGATTAATTATATATAATTAGCGATTCGTTCTATTGAATCGATTAAAAATGGTTTGAAAATCTAACTAGCTGAACCTATTTCATTAAATTCTAAAGCAACTGAGGTAATCACATTAGTCGGAATTACTAAATTATGTTTAGTTGCCGTCGTAAAAATGATCTTCACCCTCTTCGACGTTAGCATCCGAAAATCCCATATCCGCATCCTTCTGGCAAATTAAATCTATAATAACACTGTAATAAACAAACAATATTAATATATCATAATAAAACTGTACAGCATGAAAAATACTTAGAAGATGCGAAACTTACTTTAAAAGGTCACCTTCATGACCGTTCCATGTCACTGTTCCTGGATGCGTTATTTTATACCCTAGCATATTATTAAATTCTTCTTGCAATTTCTGTAATTAAAAGAAACGTAGATAAATATCTTTGGAATAAATACTGTTTTGTAAACGCTTTTAGTTTATTCATACCTGAATAAGTTGCGCGGTTCGTAGATCACATGCAAAATTTTGAGTACTTGTTAAAGTAATAAAATAATTTCCTTTTTCCCTTTCTGAAAAATTATTACAATTATTAAATAAGCTTCAATTAATTTAAATGACAAAGGAATTAAAGAATCTTACTTATGCACATATTTGAAGCAGCAAATAATAAAATCGGAGCGGTAACGCATGTTGTATCATGCAAATAGGTTGATGAAGACCGCTGTTTTGTAAAGTATGTAATATAAGGACTAGGGTAGTTTTTAATTTTATCATTTATGCTGGATGGATGTATGGAAACGGAACCATCTTCGGGAGTCCAAG